CCTCCTATCCTGGCATCCTTTCCGGCTCCTCCTCCCACCACTGCCACAGCCCAGACCACACAGTGGCTATGACCGCAGGAGGAGCCACAGCCTCAGGCCCAAGCTTCATGTGCAGGGTGCCTGGGCCTAATGGGGCAGCAGCCTTGTCTGAGTATCTCCCTCAGTGGCTTCTGTGGCATCTGCACGGTCCCTGCCTGAGGCAAGCATGGTAGGACAGGCAGCTGAAGACAGGTGCCAGGACCCCCTCCTCCTGCCACCCCAAGACCAGGTACTAATGAGAGATCGGATCTCTGTACTTAGCAAAGCACGTCCTCTAAGCCTCGTTCTCTGATTGAGATTTCTGAGCTCTATTACAACCTTTGGGACCACTGACCAACATCCAAAGTTGAATGTTGCCTGAATGGACATTATGCGGTGCAGGACTGTACAACCACAGTAATCAAAACAGCCTGGTCAGATTCAATGGCAGACACGTAGACCAATGGAATACATTGATAACTGAGAAGTAAATCCATCCATCTATAGGCAGCTGATCTTCAACAAAAGGCCAAAGTCCATTCAGTGGGAAAGGAACAGTCTCTAACAAATGTTGCTGGCAAAACTGGATATTCACATGCAGAAAAATGAAGCAGGATCCATACCACACACCATGCACAAAAACTAACTCAAAATGGATCAAAGGCCTAAATGTCAAAGCTAAAAGTATAAAATTCCTGAAAGCTAACATAGGGTCAAAACTAGGGGATCTAATTTTTGGCATAAATAGTCTATCAAACAAAACTAAAAATGCACAAATGACAGAAGATAAATTAGATAACTAGGACCTCCTAAAAATTAAACACTTATGCTCAACAAAAGACTTTACCAACAGAGTGAAAAAAGAGCCTACAGACTAGGAAGAAATCTTTAGCAACGACTTATCTACTAAGGGTCTAATCTCTAAAATATATAGAAAATTTCAACAACTCAATAATAAAAGGACAAACAATCCAATCAAAAAATTGGCAAAGGACATGAACAGATACTTCCCCAAATAGGACATTCAGGCAGCCAACCAATACATGAAAAGATGCTCACGATCACTAGCCGTTAGAGAGATGCAAATCAAAACTACAATGAAATACCATCTCACCCCTGCAAAAATGGCACTGATCTAAAAAACAGAAAACAATAAATGCTGACGAGGCTGTAGGGGGACTGGAACTCTTATACTTGCTGATGGGATTATAAAATTGTACAACCACTATGGAAAACAGTATGGCACTTCCTCAAAAAGCTAGAAATAGAAACACCTTATGATTCAGCAATCCCACTCCTAGGTATATATCCTAAAGATATAAGAGCAGTGACATGAATAGACATATGCACATCTATGTTTATTGCAGCATTATTCACAATAGCAAAAAGATGGAAACAACCTAAGTGCCCATAAACAGATGAATGGATAAACAAACTGTGGTACATACATACAATGGAATACTACATGACTATAAAGAATAATGATGAGTCCATGAAACATCTTATAACATGGATGAATCTGGAGGACATCATGCTGAGTGAAATAAGTCAATCACAAAAAGACAAATATTGTATGGTCTCACTTTTATAAAAAATCAAGAACAGGCATACATACAGAAAGCAACGTTCTTTGATGATTACCAGGGATAGGAGAGGGAGGGGGAATCACTTTCTAGATAGTAGACACTTGCTATTTTTGGTGATGGCAAAGGCAATACCCAATATGGGTGAAGTTTGTACAACATGTCCAAGGTAAATGAAGACACTAAGAAGTACCCAAGAATAATGGACAATGTCAGTAAATGCTATAGCATACAAATTTGCAACAATAATAACAACCAAAAAATATGTGTGTGGTTAAATAGGTATATATGGATGCATATATGTGTACAGGAAGGCACATGTGAGTATATGGGTGTGCATGTACAGATGAATCTGTAGGCATATGTATGTTTATGTGTTCTGCATATATATATTCATATATATAATAAACCACATAGGGGTCACAGTTACAGATACTTCCTAGACATAACCAAACACCTCACAGGATTGGTTTACTGGGTTTGAAGGCTTGGGACCACTGTCTCATGGTACAACTCGGTCAACTGGCATAACATAGTTCATAATGATAATGCTCTACATCCTAGTTTGGTGAGTAGTGTCTGGGGTCTTAAAATCCTGCAAGTGGCCATCTAAGACACAACTATTGGTCTCTACCCATTTGGAACAAAAGAAAATGAAGAAAATCAAAGACTCAAAAGAATAAACTAGTCCACAGGACTAATAGCCCACATGAACCATGGCCTCATCTAACCTGAGACCAGAAGAACTAGATGGTACCCGGCTACCACTACTGACCGTTCTGATCAGTGACACAACAAAAGGTCTGGGATAGAAAGGGAGAAAAATGTAGAACAAAACTCAAATTCCTAAAAAAGGCCAGACTTACTGGACTGATAGAGACTAGAGAAATCCCCAAGACTACTGCCCAAAGACACCCTTTGAACTTGGAACTGAAGCCACTCCTGGTGGTCACCTTTCAGCCAAATAATAGATCAGCTTATAAAATAAACAATATCACCAGTGAATACTGTACTCCCTTAAATAACCAACTATATGAGACCAAATGGTCAACATTTACCCTAAAACAAAGATGAGAAGCAAAGAGGGGCAGGGAAGCTAGATTAATGGAAACAGAACAAATAGAATGGAAATAATGAGAATGTTGACACATTGTGAAAAATGTAGCCAATTTCATGGAACAATTTGTATAAAATTGTTAGATGGGAAACTAATTCACCTAAAACACAATAAAATATTTAAAAAGAATAAAACTTATGGATCACAACAACACAATTTCAAAAAAAGAATGGATCATGACCTACCTGATTCATGGAACATTTTTCAATATGAGCAATTATAATTTCACCAGGAATTCTTACTAAGATATAAGAAGCCACACTATATAATGCTGCATTATTTCCATCAAATGTAATAATGCTCAGTTCTGACAACACAGAACATCGACCTAAAAAAAAAAAAAATGGTGGATTTAGTCTATTAACTATTTGTCTTTTTCATAATTATTGTTCTTTTAAAAAATCTTTCAAATTAGCCTCATTATGTTTGACAGAAAAACAATTCTAAAAGATACACACTGGGAACCGAAATCATAAATCAAAAGAAGAAAGCTCAACAATAACTGCGACTTAATGAATTGATAGGTTCCCTCAAAAATGACAGTTGCCTCTGATTAATAACTGATTGCCATGTAAGTAAGAAATGCAAACTTACAAGGACATTCCCACTCAGGACAGCAGATATCACTGTTCACTTGAACAGGCCTTCCCCGGAAACCACAATCAGGCATTTCTAAGACCTTTGGGCAGTAAAGTGACCAGTTGAACCATTTCCATTCCATATCAAGGCATATATATTGGCTACAATCATAAACAGGATCAAATTGTTGAGGCTGTTAATTAAAAAAAAAAATTAGTTTTTTTTCAGTTTTCAACCAATTTTTTCCATTTATTTTACAACCTCATATTCACACTACATATAGTGTCATTTTCTAACTGCAAAAGCTTTTCTAAAATAAAGAATTAAAATTTCACTTCAACTTTGTGTTGACGTAACCCCCCTAAAATACTCAGTATGGACATAATTTAAGTTTTACATTAATAGTGATTTGATATCAGAATTTCCCATATACACAGACATGTGAAAAACATGAAATCTTGTCCTAAATTCTGTAGATTAGCATTTTGCAAGTAGATTTATATGGTGGCAGCCAATCTTTCATATTATGCCATATATAGCTAGTATATGAATACCACTTCTGTCAATGACAGTTTAAAAAGCTGTAATATACTATCCAAACATTTAATTTAAAATGTATACTAGAAATCATTTTTTGACAACATCTAGATAGCATCATTATAAATTAATTATATAGAGAGGTCAAAAAGACCTTTGATGGAAAATCTGGAAATAAATCCAAACATCTATGATCAGTTGATTTCCAGCAAGGGAGCCAAATCCATTCAATGAGGAAGGAAGAGTCTCTTCAACAAACGGTGCTGGCAAAATGGGGTTACCACTTGCGGAAAAATAAAACAAGATACATACCTCACACCATACACAAAAAATAATTCAAAACAGATCAAGGACCTAAACGTTAAATCTAAAGCCATAAAGTTCTTGGAAGAAAATATAGGAGCCAAGTTTTGGTACCTAACTGTTTTTCAGTGATAGATTATCAAGCACAACAATAAATGCACGAGCAACAGAAAACAAAATAACTTCTTGTTGTCAGGTGCTGTCGAGTCGGTTCCGACCCATAGTGACCCTATGTACAACAGAACGAAACACTGCCTGGTCCTGCACCATTCATTCTCAAAATCGTTGTTATGCTTGAGCCCATTGTTGCAGCCACTGTGTCAATCCATCTCATTGAGGGTTTTCCTCTCTTTTGCTGACCCTCTACTTTACGGAATATGATGTCCTTCTCCAGGGACTGATCCCTCCTGATAACATGTCCAAAGTATGTGAGATGAAGTCTTGCCATCCTTGCTTCTAAGGAGCATTCTGACTGTACTTCTTCCAAGACAGATTTGTTTGTTTTCTTGGCAGTCCATGGCATATTTAATATTCCTCACCAACACCATAATTCAAAAGCAACAATTCTTTAGTCTTCCCATTCATTGTCCAGCTTTAATATGCATATGAGGCGATTGAAAACATCATGGCTTGGGTCAGGTGCACCTTAGTCTTCAAGGTGACATCTTTGCTTTTCAACTCTTTAAAGAGGACTTTTGCAGCAGATCTGCCCAATGCAATGCGTCTTTTGATTTCTTGACTGCTGCTTCCATGGGTGTTAACTATGGATCCAAGTAAAATGAAATCCTTGACAACTTCTATCTTTTCTCTGTTTATCATGTTGCTTAGTGGTCCAGTTGTGAGGATTTTTGTTTTCTTTATGTTGAGGTGTAATCCATACTGAAGGCTGTGGTCTTTGACCTTCATCAGTAAGTGCGTCAAAACAAAACAAAACAAAAAAAACCACACCCACTGCTGTCGAGTTGATTCCGACACATAGTGACCCTATAGGACAGAGCAGAGCTGCCCCCATAGAGTTTCCAAGGAGCATCTGGTGGATTCAAACTGCTGACCTTTTGGTTAGCAGACGTAACTCTTAACCACTATGCCACCAGTGTTTCCAAAGTGTTTCCAGTCCTCTTCAAATAGATAACTGGAACCTCATAAAAGTTAAACACATGCTCATCAAAAGACTTTATCAAAAGAGTCAAGAGCAACTTACAGACTGGGAAAAAAAATTGGGAATGATATAACTGATAAGGGTCTAATACCTAAAATACACAGAAAATTTCTAAAACTTAACAGCAAAAAGACAACCGAATCAAAAACCGGGCAAAGGACATGAACAGACACTTCACCAAAGAGAATATTCAAATGGCCAACAGACACATGAAAAAATCCTCAAATGCATTAGCCATCAGAGACATGCAAATCAAAATCACAAGGAGATACCTTTTCACTCCCACTAGGATGGCTAAGACAAAAGATTTTTTTTTTTTAAAAAAAAAAAAGATAACTAGTGTTGGGAGGGATATGGAGAAATTAGAACCCTTATCCATGCTGTTGGGAGTGCAAAATGGTACAGCAATTGGAGAAAACAGTCTGGTGGCTCCTCATAATAACTAGAGGTAGAGCTGCTATATGACCCAGCAATTCCATTCCTAGTATATACTCTAGGGATCTAATAGAGGTGCCACGAACAGATATATGCACACTTAGCTTCCAACAATAGCCTTCTAATTGGTTCTATTATCTCTTTACATCCTATTCTCAACACAGCAGTTGAAATGATCCTGAAACGTCAATCAGATCATGTAACACCCCTACTCAAAAATATCCAGTGTCTTCCGGTGTCATTTCGAAAAAAGCCGGTATCTATAACAGTCAACAGGGTCTTACATAATCTACTTTATTCCCTACTATTTTATTTCTCACTTACTTAACCCATTGCAGTCTAGCTGAATTCTGACTCACAGAAACCCTATAGGACAGAATAGAGCTCCCCCATAGGGTTTCCAAGGCTGTAAATCTTTATGGAAGCGGGCTGCCACATATGTCTCCCAACGGAGTAGTCGGTGGGTTCAAAACACTGGCCTTTTGGTTAGCAGCCTAGCACTTAACCACTACACCACCAGGGCTCCTTCTCACTTACCTGTTGGCCTCTTTATTATTCCTTTACTATGTCAGGTATACTCCTGCCTCAGGTCCTTTGCACTTGCTGTTCCCTCTGCCTGGAACACTATTACCCCAGTTCTCTTCATGGTTCACTCTAAATTCCTTCTGGTCTTTGCTCTAAATTCTCTTTAGCACTGAAGACTTTCTAACTATCTTATTGAAAATAGTTTTTTTTTTTTTTATAACAGCACCTTCTAATATTTTAGATAATATTTTATTTTGTTCCATGACTGTTCTAATAGAATGTAAACTCCACAAAAGCATGACTTATAGCCTATTTTTTTCATTGTTTTATTGCTAGTGCCTGAGTAGTACCTGGCCAGAAAAGATACTAAACAAATATTGGCTGAGTAAATACTTGGTTTAACAGAAAGAATAGCATATTTGGAGTAAGGAGATAGCTTCTCAAGTCTCAGCCAAGACAATTTCTAGCTCTAATGGCTAAAGACCTTATCTTTTCTGCTTACCAATGTATCTTTATCATCTTCCACAGTGCTTGGCATATAGTAGCTGTTTAATGAATATTTTTGGAATGCCTGACTTACAGACAAGTCCACAATAGATATCTCTTTACTAAGGAATCACACTTAAGACTGTGTTTAAATTTTATTTGTTTTTTCTTAGTGTGGCCAGAATATAATTAATAAGAAACATCTGAATCAGTTAAGAAAATACAATTGTTAAAATGTAATGCATATTTCTTTTCTTATAGCAAAGACAGATGAGCAAGCATGCCAAAAGAAGTTTAGTAAAGTTTGGATAGTGATACAGAAACTAAATTAGATGCTACAGGAAATGACAAATAGATGGAAGAAATTACCCAGTCATACCTCACAATCCAAACCTGTTGTTGGTGTTAGCGCGTCCAACGGGGTGAAGACTGATGGACCTGTCAGAAATGAAGATGTCATCTCCATTAGTGATATGATAGCAATCATATACGGAATTCACATGTGATGGAAACTGTGCTAAGAAATTGTACACAGATTACTTCAACTGTTCTCACAAGAATCTTAGGAAGTAGATACTAATATTATTGTCATTTTACAGGTAAGGAAATTAAGATGTTGAGAAGTAAGGTGGTTAAGTGACAGAGGCAGAATTTGAACTCAGGAATTCTGGTTCCAGAGCCCTGGCTTTGAACCACCATTCTACAAACACCTTCATTATTCTTGTATCAATACAATTGCCTGAACTGGTAAAAATATCAATGGTATCCATACAAATTCCTCAGGGGTTAAAAATGTTAGCCTTGTTGCATCTTTATAAGAGGAAGTGAGGCTGATTTCTTTCCCTTGGGGAATTTCTAGGATGTGTTCTTTAGAAGCAGACTAGATGGTGCCATGGACCACATGGAGACCTCAGTTGGTGGGTGTAGTGAAGGGGTGATCCATGGGAAAGGAAAGACGTGATTGATACACACATTTGTAAGGCACCTTCCAAAGCTTTTAGGTTGAAATTTGCACTAGCTGTAATGCAGTGTCATAACTGATACTGTTTAAGAATGACTATTAGTTTCTTATAGCTACTGTACCAAATTACTACAAACTTAGTGGCTTAAAGACAACATTAATGTTGTAATCTTGCAGTTCTGGAGGTCAGAAGTCCTAAAAGTCAAGGCGTCAGCAGGGCCACATTTCTTCTGGAGGCTCTAGAGCAGAATATGTTTCCTTGCCTTTTCCAGCATCTAGAGACCACCTGAATTCTTTGGCACACGGTTTCTCCCTCCATCTTCAAAGATGAGCATAGCATCTTCCTCTTTCTCGCTCTCTTTTTCTCTTCCTTTCTCCCTCCCTCCCATCTCTACTTCCATCATCATATGGCCTTCTGTGACTTTGGCCCTCCTGTCATCCTCTTATAATGACCCTTGCGATTACATTGGACCTACTCAGATAATCCAGGATTATCGCCCCATCTCAAAATCCTTAATTTAATTAACATCTGCCAAATCTCTTTTGCCATGTAAGGTAACATATTTACAGGTTCTAGGGATTAAGACAAGGATATCTTTGGAAGATCATTATTCAGCTTACCACAATTACATAAAAGAAAACTTACTTTTTTAGTTAAATAAATTCTACAAATAACATTTTTTTTAACTTATTTTATAAATTCAAGCTTTCTGAACAGATAAAGTAGAACAAAAAAAAAAACATTCCATGATCTTAGGAACAGTGTTCTTCATATATTTGATGTTGCATCTTCTAGAGAATCTAATGTTTAATACAGAGTTAAATATTTCATTTCCATCACCATGAATTTTTAAGCAAAAGAAAAGGAGACAAATATCTAATCCAATACAAGTACAGAATCATGGAAAATTCTAATGACTGGAGGTTGGGTGGTCTCAACAGTGAAGGAGCTCATTGGTTTCTAAAACCATCAAAAGGTTATAAGCACTGTCTGAGTGTAGAATTATAATACTCAAGAATTGTCTCAACATCTGGTAGAGAATTTTATTCCTATGTATTCCTCACCAAAGTATTTGATTTATATTCCTCTAACATTCATAAATCAATAGGAGAATCCAAGTCAATATTTAGAAATTCATTCTGCAACCACTTGAGTGTTCGGGAAAATCAGAAATAAATGGAAAAGAAAAAGTGTTAAATGCCTCTAAGGAAAGTAGGCTTATTGGAATATATTAAAGTATTATGTCTACAAGGAAGAATAGTATATTACTATACTGATTTGTGTTTTGTTCCATGTACAGAATTTTGTGTTGACATGTTTTCATTTTTCTTGGGTATATACCCATGAATGGAATTGATGACTCATATGGTAAGTCATTTTGAGGAACTGCCAAACTGTTTTCCAAAGTGTTTGCACCATTTTAAATTCCTGCCAGCAATGAATAGGGAGTCTAATTTCTCTACATCCTCACCAACACTTGTTATTATCTGTCTTTCATTATTAGTACTATCCTAGTGAGTGTGAAATGGTATCTCATTGTAGTTTTTATTTGCATTTTCCTAATGATTAATGATGTCCAGCATTTTTCATGTGCTTTGTATATCTTCCTTGGAGAAGTACCTATTCAGATCTTTTGCCTATTTTTTAATAGTATTACCTATCTTTTGACTATTGCATTGTAAGTGTTCTTAATATATGCTGGAAATGTCTCTTATCAGATGTATGACTTGCAATTTTTTTTTTTCCATTTGGTGGGTTGTCTTTTCACTTAGTCTGATTTGCAGCACAAATGTTTTTAATTTTGTAGTCCAATTTTTTTTTCTTTTTTTTGTTTCCTGTGCTTTAGGTGCCATATTTAAGAACTATCGCCTAATCCAGCATCACAAAGAGTTTTATAGCTTTAGCTCTGACATTCAGTCTTTGATCTATTTTGAGACAATTTTTGTATATGGCTTGAGAGAGACGTCCAGCTTCATTCTTTCGCATGTGGATATCCAATTATCCCAGTATCATTTGTTGAAAAGACTATTCTTTCCCATTGAGTTGTCATGGCATCCTTTTCAAAAATCAATTCAAAATGTATGGGTTTATTTCTGGACTCTCAATACTATCTCATTGATCTATATGTCTATCCTTATGTCTGTGCCACACTGTCTTATTACTTTAGATTAGTTATAAGTTTTGAAATTAGAAATTGTGAGTCCTTCATCTTTGTTTTTGGGTTCTTTTTGTTTATTTGTTTTTGTTTTGTTTTTCAAGATTGTTTTGGCTATTCTGGGCCATATGAATTTTAGGGTCATCTTGTCAATTTCTACAAAGAAGTTGGCTGGGATTTTGATAGAGATAGCATTGAATCTGTAGATCAATTTTGGGGTACTTCCATTTTAACAATATCAAGTCTTCCAGTTCATGAACAAGAAATGTTTTTCCATTTATTTTGATCTTCTTAATTCTTTCAATAATGTCTTGCAGTTTTCATAGCACAAGTCTTACACTTCTCTTGATAAATTTATCCTAAGTATTTTATTCTTCTTTTATGCTGCTGTAAATGGAATCATTTTCTAAATTTCATTTTTTGGATTGTTCATTGTTAGTGTATAGAAATACAATTAATTTTTGTATATTGATCTTGTATTCTGTTGCCTTGCTGAATTCATTCATTAGTTGTAATAGGTTTTACTGGGTTTCTTAGGTTAGTGTATATACAAGATCATGTCATCTGAAAATAGGAATAGTTTTAATTTCAGAATAGTTCTCTTACCCCTGAGAGTCATGGAATATAGTTCATATACTCTGCCTATGAAATGTGGTGGTTTAAATAATTTTAGATGTTAAGGTATACGTTGAATATTGATTTGTGGGGTGTTAGAGAACTCAAAGTAGATAGCAGTACTTGGAAAAATTGACAGTCTATGCCTGGAGGTTAGGATCTGCAGTCCTATTCACAGGCTTATTCCCTCCATAGATTAAAAGATGTAGGAAAAGTACCTTAGCGCCACCCCCCGCCACCCAAAATATGTGTTAAACCATTCTGAACTCACTGATGATTAAAATTCCACAAGAGAAAAGAAATTATTTAAGTCTATAAGAAGGATAATAATAATACTTCTCTCATAGGATTCTTATGAGTACCAAATGATACAATGTATTGAAAGTTCTTAGTTTAACGCCTGGCACATAAAGAACACTCAGTAAATGATAGTTTAGAGCTTGGTGCCTAACGAAAAGGTTGGCAGTTCGAATCCATCAGCCACTCTTTGGAAACACTGTGGGGAAGTTCTACTGTATCCTATAGGGGCACTATGAGTCAGAATCAAGTCAACAATAGAAGAAGAACATGGCTTCAGGATTGGAGGAAGACTTATTAGCAACCTGCAATATGCAGATGATACAGCTTTGCTTGCTGAAAGTGAAGAGGAATTGAAGCACTTACTGATGAAGATCAAAGACTATAGCCTTCCGTATGGATTACATCTCAACATAAAGAAAAAAGAAATCCTCAAGACTGGACCAATAAGCAATATCATGATAAACGGAGAAAAGACTGAAGTTGTCAACGATTTCATTTTACTTGGATCCATAATCAACACCCATGGAAGCAGCAGTCAAGGTATCAAACAATATATTGCATTGAGCAAATCTGCTGCAAAAGACCTTTTTAATGTGTTAAAAAGCAAAGAGGTCACTTTGAGGACTAAGGTGCACCTGATCCAAACCATGGTATTTTCAATCATCTCATAGGCATGAGAAAGTTGAATGATTAATAAGAAACACTGAAGAAGAATTGATGCATGTAAACTATGGTGTTGGTGAAGAATACTAAACATGTCATGGACTGCCAGAAGAACAAACAAATCTGTCTTAGAAGAAGTACTTCCAAAATGCTCCTTAGAAGCAAGGATGGGGAGACTTTGTCTCACATACTTTGGACATGTTATCAGGGGGGACCAGTTCCTGGAGAGGGACATCATGCTTGGTAAAGTAGAGGGTCAGCGAAAAAGAGGAAAGCCCTCAACAAGATGGAATGACACCGTGATTACAACAATGGGCTCAAACATAGCAATGATTGTGAGGAGGGTAGTGTTTCATTCTGCTGTACACAGGGTCACTATAAGTCGGAACTGACTCAATGACACCTAACAATAACAACAACAATAAGAATAGTGGTAATAGTGATGGTTGTAGAGAGGTTGGTATTTCTGAAAATGTCAAAGGAATCATTAAAACATTTCAATGAGTCCCCATTGCCTTCAGAAAAAAAAAATCCAAATTTCTTGCCATAGACCCTCTGTAATCTGGCCCCGATACTCTCCTCTGTCTCATCTCTTGGTGCAGTTCCCCTCACTCTGCATGCTCAAGACAAACCAACCTGCTTGAAGTCCCTGCGTGTGACATGTTCTCTCTCACTTCTAGGCCTTTGCACATGCTATCCCTTCTAGTTGGAGCACACTTCCTCCCTTTCTTAGCTTACTCAACTCTTATCTTCTGTGACCCTTCTGAGACCCTACCTCTAAAATAAGTATAATGCCCCTCCTGCATGCTGCTTATACTTACTATTATTGTAATATCACAATAGCCTATGGACTACTAGCTGTTTCAGGGTAGGGGCTGTGACTTATTCACCATAAACTCCCTCCTTCTCCCTCTCCTAGTGCCAGGACAGTACCTTGCAGAGTTGGCACACAAATAAAGCTCGTCAAATAAATTGAAAGAATAAATATCTGAATTTAAGTAAATTTGAATCCATGGAAAAGTAATACAATAAGTTTATCAAGTCACTGTGGTGGATTTATTAGATCTTTTCCTGAAGGCAAGTTTCATAGTGAGGGAGAAAAGGGAGGATGTGAGCCCAGAATGCCTCCGCACAACCATGGGACAGAAAAGAACACAGGAATGGGAATGGAGACACTAAAGGAAAAGTTCACTTGCATCAACATCTCATTTAGAGCCAACTCAATTGCTGCAAAAATTTAAGAAGAGTTTGTTGTTGTTAGCTGACATCGAATGGGCCCTGACACATGATGACTCCATGAACAATGGAACAAAACACTGCTTAATACAATAGGCTGCAGATCTGACAACATTCCTTTGTGATCCATAGGGTTTCACTGCCTGATTTTCAGAAGCAGATAGCCAGGACTTTCTTCCTAGTCAGTCTTAGTCTGGAAACACTGCTGAAATCTGTTCAGCATCATACCAACACACACAGAAAGACAGGCAGTGGCTGCCAGAAATTCTAGGCAAAAATATGAGGGAAATCCTAGTTATGTATACTAAATCAAATAGAGAAAGAGGTGGACCACATGCAGAAGCCTTTCAGAAAATGTGGCCTGCTGAGCCAGTGAACAGCTGCTTAAATGAAGCAAAAGTGAGTGCTGGGTTTTCTAGTCCATGAGATAATACTAATAACAGTAATTGTTACAACTGTTCCAAGTCTTAAATTACATAATGCTAACTTTAAAATTGTACCAATACCTATAAACATGGGTTGTACAGATGGCTTACCTGGTGGTAGACTAGTAGGTGTCATTAATGCTGGTTCTGTGGGAGGTATGCCTACAAAGAAACAAAGATTCTTTTCCTTAAACTGTGTTTGCTTAAAGTGAAGCCCATGAGTTGATACAGGAATCTTTAGGTTAAAGGGAAATAATACTTTGGCAGAGCAGGGATGTTAGAGGCAAGATTAAAATGATTTGGAGAGTAATTAGGAACAAATAACTATGGAAGGGATATTGAAGAAGAATCTTTAAGTTTATTGTCTAAAAATTCTATCCACCGTCTCTTGCCATCATAGTGAAATAATACTCAAGTGTTTCACTTCTCAGAACAAATGAAGACAGGTTCACACTTACAGTCTCCTGGATAAACACATTTGAGGGTGACCTCATCAAGGATCATATTTTTAGGGCAGTAGGGTAAGCATCCTTCAACCCTTTATATGAAAAAAGAAGGAAAGAAAGAAACCAAAATCAAAATAGTTTAAAATTAAAAAAAAAAATAACAAACCTTAATTTAACATATGCGACTAAGATATATTCTTCCTGAAATTCTTGTATCCCCCTTGTCAAGCACTGAGTTTTCCATTTGCTACCACTCCATCATACCTTATCTTATGAAATCACAAGCTAGTTGATGATAAAAGCATATTATCAATGATTACAGCAGATTTGAACACAGAACATTCAAAACATATGCTTGGGGCACACGAACGCAATTGTTTATAAATTAGTGAAGATGCTGAAGAATGATTTATTGGGATTTTAATCTATATTTGGTCTACTGTTTCTTTCCACTCTTATCCTCCCCCACTTCCAAACAGACAGGCAGGTTCTTTGAATAGCCTTGCTTTAAGGATGTTTGTAGGACAAAAACAGCATCTTCAGTGGCTCTCCTTGCCTATTATAAAATTCTAAAGTCACTGAAAAGATATGAGAGTCTCTGAGTGGAAGAAATGGAAGTGGGGTATGGTTGCAGTCCTTTGAAAACCAAGAAGGGGAGCAGAGGATACAGGTCCCAAGAGCAGCATAGTCTGTGCCCAAATTTCTGGCAGTGCCTGGGAGAATGTTGTATATGAGCCTGACGAGACCAGGTCTTAAGATCCAGGGAGGCTGGCCTTGGTAAGGATATGCAGTCCTTATATGTGACACAGAAGCTAAGCAAGAGTGCCAAATTTCAAGACGCCAGGGACTTGGACATTGTGGGCCAAAGATAGGAGGAACCACTCTGAATGCCTTTCCTCTATAGGAAAGAAGCCAGGAAAATGAGATTAAATTTTTCTTCTGGTCCAACTGGGGCTCAGAGTCCAATTTTGACTGGTTCAAAGGAAATAAATACAATCCTTCACATACCAAACCAAACCCACTGCTGTCGAGTTGATTCCAACTCATAGTGACCCTATAGGACAGAGCAAAACTGCCTCATAGGGTTTCCAAGGCTGTAACCTTCACAGAAGCAGATTGCCACATCTTTCTCCTGTGGAGTGGCTGGTGGGCTCAAACCTCTGACATTCTGGTTAGCAGTCAAGTGCTTAACTACTGCACCACCGGGGCTCCTTCCTTCATACACAACCAACTCAATTAGATTCATACATACTAGAGAATTAATGCAAATATTGTCATGAAAAGGATTGCTTGTCAGCCTCTCAGATACCCTAGCAGGTTGTAACAATATGTTTAATTTATTTAAAACATTTCCAATTGTCTCGTTTGTAAAGTAAATAATTTGAACCCAAAACGTTCCAGGCGTTTTTCCATTCGGGATGGAATTAAACTATTTTGACACTAGGTGTAAGTGCTGCCACCAGAGGGCGCCTGAATCATGAAAGGAAATATAAGCAACACTAAAAACCGAGAAAGGTTAACTTCTCTCTTAACATGACACAAATTTAGCCATCTCTTGGTCGTCTCCTTCACAAATGATTTTTCTTTTTTTTAACATAAACAGTGTAACTTATATGGTCAGTTGTTTGTTTTGTGAAATGAATTTGAGTAACAAAAGTTTAACCAACCTATATTACTACTCTACTCTAAACTTTATCAAGTAGAAGAAAGAAGAAAAATTAAAGTTTCTAGATAGCTGAAAATGCTAGAAGTCATTTATCATTAAACTAAGTCAACAATAGTTTTTAAGCAACTCAGTTATTTTGCCATTTTTTTATGCAAGTCAAAACCAGACCCATCACTCCTACATTATTTTCCAAAAACCATTGACTTACTTTCTTTTAAAATGCCTTCTCTCATAGTAGCCCATAGCAGGTTCCTTTTTATTTTAACATATGACTGCTAACCTACACCATTTCTAAGTGATAAATCTAATGTCTCAGAGGCAAAACAGTTCTTATAATTAGGTGCATTATATAATAGAAATAATTTTATTAACATATGTGCTCTGCAGCATGCCGGTTGATACCTTTTCTCATAAAAACTCTCATTTTCACTAGACTAACACTAACACTTGTAGTTCTTAGTTGCTGTCGAGTCGATTTCGACTCATGATGACCCCATATGTGAATTGCAGAACTGCTCCATAGGGTTTTCAAAAGCAGTTCGCCAGGTCTATTTTCCAAGGTGCCTCTGGGTAGGTTTGAACCACCAACCTTTCAGCCAGTAGTCGAGCACTTAACTATTTGTGCCACGGGGGATTGTTTTTTAATACTAAATGTTTATACTTTTAACACTGGCTACGTGGCATGGCAGCCCTGGCAATGCGGTTGTTAAGAACTCAGCTGTTAACCAAGAGGTCGGCAGTTCAAATACACCAGCCACTCCTTGAAAAGTTTATGGGGCAGTTCTACTCTGTCCTGTACGGTTGCTATGAGTCAGAATTGACTCAATGGCAGTGGGTCTTTTATGTGCCGTGAGTCTGAATCCACTCAAAGGCAACTGGTTTTTCAAGAGACCTGCATAAGTGGAAAAACGTACCTTGCTCATGGGTAGGAAGACTCAACATTGTGAAAATGTCAGTTCTACCCAAAGCGATCTACAGATACAATGCAATCCTGATCCAAATTCCAATGGCATTTTTTAATGAGAGAAACAAATCAACAACTTCATTTGGAAAAGGAAGAGGCCCCAGATAAGTAAAACATTACTCAAGAAGAAGAACAAAGTGGGAGGCCTCACACTACCTGATTTTAGAACCTATTGTAACACCACGGTAGTCAAAACAGCCTGGTACTGGTACAACAACAGATACACAGACCAATGGAACAGAATTGAGAATCCAGATAAATTCATCCACCTATGAGCAGCTGATGTTTGACAAAGGCCCAAAGTTCATTAATTGGGGAAAAGACAGTCTCTTTAACAAACGGTGCTGGCATAACTGGATATCCATCTGCAAAAAACTGAAACAAGACCCATACCTCACACCATGCACAAAAACTAACTCTAAATGGATCAAAGAATTACATATAAAACCAAAAATGATAAAGATTATGGAAGAAAAATTAGGGACAATGCAAGGAGCCCTAATACATGGCATAAACACAATACAAACCATATTAAGTAACAATGCAGAAGCACCAGAAGAGAGACTAGATAAATGGGAGCACCTAAAAATCAAACACTTATGCTCATCAAAAGACTCACCAAAAGAGTCAAAAGACAACCGACAGACTGGGGAAAACATTTTTGGCTGTGACAAATCCGATCAGCGTCTAATCTCTCAAATCTACAATATACTGCAAAACCTCAACAACAAAAAGACAAATAACCCAATTAAAAAATGGGCAAAGGATATGAACAGACACTTCGCTAAAGAAGTTATTCAGGTTGCTAACAGACACATGAAGAAATGCCATTATCATTAGCCATTAGAGAAATGCAGATCAAAACTACAATGAGATTATTATGTCACCCCAACAAGGCTAGCATTAATCCAAAAAACACAAAATAATAAATGCTGGAGAGGTTGTGGAGAGACTGGAACACTTATACACTGAGTGGGAATATAAAATGGTACAACCACTTTGGAAATCGATTTGGCACTTCCTTAAAAAGCTAGAAATAGAAGTACCATACGACCCAGCTATCCTGCTCTTTAGAATATACCCTAGAGAAATAAGAGCCATCACACGAATAGATACGTGCACATCCATGTTCACTGCAGCACTATTCACAATAGCAAAAAGATGGAAACAATCTAGGTGCCCATCAACAGAAGAATGGATAAACAAATTATGATATAGCCACACAATGGAATACTACACAATGATAAAGAACAACGATGAAGCCGTGAAACATAACATGGAGGAATCTGGAGGTCATTATGCTGAGTGAATTTAGTCAGTCACAGAAGAACATATATTGTATAAGACCACTTTTATCAGAACTCAAGAAAAAGTTTAAACACAGAAGACAACATTCTTTGATGGTTTCAAGGGTGAGGGGTATTCACTAACTAGACAGTAGACAAGTATTATCTTAGGTGAAGGGAAGGACAGCACACACTACAGGGGAAGTCAGCACAACTGGACTAAACCAAAGCTAAGTTTCCAGAATACAATCAAACATTTCGAGGGACAGAGTAGCAGGGGTAGGAATCTGGGGACCATGCTTTCAGGGGACATCTAGGTCAATTGGCATAAAAAAGCTTATTAAGAAAGTGTTCTGCATCCTACTTTGGTGAGTGGTGTCTGGGGTCTTAAAAGCTTGCAAGTGGCCTTCTAAGATGCATCAATTTGTCCCAACCACCTGGAGTAAAGGAGAATGAAGAACACAAGAGACACAAGGAAAGTATTAGCCCAGGAGACAGAAAGGGCCACATAAACCAGAGACTTCATCAGCCTCAGACAAGAAGGACTAGATGTTGCCCGGCTACCACCAATGACTGCCCTGACAGGGAACACAACAGAGAGTTCCTGATGGAGCAGGAGAAAGGTAGGGTGCAGAACTCAAATTCTAGTAAGAAAACCAGACTTAATGGTCTGACTGAGACTGGAGGAACCCTGGAAAGCATAGCCCCAGAATTCTCTATCAGCCCAGAACTAAAACAATTTCCAAGGCCAAGTCTTCAGGCAGGGATTGGACTGGACTGTAGGACATAAAGGGATATTCGTGAGGAGTGTGCCTCTTAGCTCAAGTAGATACAAGAGACTAAATGCACAGCTTCTGTCCGGAGGTGAGATAGGAAGGCAGAGAGGGTTAGGAGCTGGTTGAATGGACGTGGGGAATCGGGTGGAAAGAAGGAGTGTGCTGTCACAGTATGCGGAGAGCAATTAGGGTCACATAACAATGTATGTATAAATTTTTTTATGAGAGACTAACTTGAAATGTAAACTTCATTTAAACTACAACAATAAAAAAAAAAAAAAAAAAAGGTAACTGGTTTTTGTTTTATGTACCAGAAACTGTAATCATCTAGAATTCTAGAACACGGAGGGTGGATTTTTTGGTGACTTCGAGGAGGGATACAGAGTATGATAAATCCCCAGCTTAGTACTTGAGTCTCCCCTCAGGGCTGCAAGTACGATGGGAAGCAATAATCAGGCACCTGGGCACAGGGGAAGTAGAAGATAAAGCTGAAGGTAGAGATGAGAAACAGTTATCTCCAGGTTGTTAAATCCAATGACCAAATCTCACTCTCAAATTTAAAATGTTCGAAATCAAATCCTTCACTTCCCTTCCAAGTTTCTCCTCCTAACATCTTCTTTATCCCAGTAAATGACAACCTAGTCCTTCTATTTACATTGAATCATTTGAAATTGCTGATATTTGACCAGTTTCAATAACAAAAACATCAATTTCATATGGTTCCACCTAATAATTGCTGAGGCCAAAAAGTTGAGTCATTAACTCCTCTTTCTCTTGTGATATTAATTTCATATCCTATGGCCCTAAGTTTGAAATATATTCAGAATCTGTTCACTTCTCACTGATACCAACTTAGTCAAATTACCTTCATCTTTTGCCCATATTACTGACCAGTTCTGTCCTTGCCTTTCCGCTCCCCAAGAGTATATTCTCAATACAACAGAGTGAACCTTTTAAAACCTAAATCAGACCATGCTACCCCTCTGCCCAAAATACACCAGTGGCTTCCTATCTCACTCAGAGTAAAAAACTAAGTCTTTACAACAGGCTACAAGGCCCTACATGATTTGTCCATACTATGATTTTTTTTTATCTCTTTTTCTACCTCTCTCAATCTTGTTCACATTCTTCCAACTAACTGGCCTCCCTGCTTATTGACAAACACACCAAACTTATCCCCAACCTTTGCAATGTTCTCAAATTGGATAGCTCTTTTCTCAGATATCCTCATGGCCAGTTCCCTCACTTCTTCAGAACTCTGATGAGATGTCACCTTATTAGCAAGCCCTTCCCTAACACCGTATATCAAGAAACAAACACACATACATGCCTCATACTTCCTGTCTCCTTTATTTTTCTCCATAACACTTACTGTAATGTATCAATGTATTACATGTTTATTCTTATTTTTTTCTTAGTCTCAACCCAACAAAATGGAAGCTACATGAGGCCAGGTACTTTGTCTATTTGCTCATGACTGTACCTCTAGCAACTACAAGTGACCTATTGCTGAAACATCTGCCATTGAAAACCCTATGGAGCACAGTTCTACTCTGACACTTCATGGGGTTGCCATGAGTTGGAGTCGACATGACGGCAACTGTTAAAAAGCAACTACAAGAGTTTCTGGCACATAATAACCCTCAATAAATATTTCTTGAATGAAACAAATTCACAAATGAGTATATAGCATGTACAATTTTCTCTTGCGAGTGGTTGTTTTAAATCTAAAAAAAAATTCACTGAAAATATCTGCTAGTACTGGGTTTGCTCATTTAATAGTAAACATTACTTACGGTGGAAGAAATTTACACGCTAGTGCTTCAGGATCACTACATGTTTTAAAACAGGGAGTGGCACAAGGCTCATATCTCCATTCACACATCCTCCTGTAAGGAACTGCTGCCTGAATTTCTGGGGGCAAAAATAAAGTTTAGATTGTATATAGTGTTAATGCACAGCTTGAAAAATAATGATATGGAACTTCCTAGCGCTCGACCCCTCTTTGACTATGGCTATGGGGAAATAGTATTTTAATTGCTTGGTAATGAAAGCATTTCTTACTAGGTTGACTACCCAAATATAATTCCATCTTCCAAAGATCAAAAAAAAAAAAAAGCAAGATGTTGGAGGAGGCTAAAGAAAATTCAAAATCTTCTTCCTTTAGGTTTAGTGGGGTTCCATGGATCTGCATATAATAATAATACCATATACTTATTTGGACTTTTATATTTTATAAAATAATACTTCATCCATTATTCTATTTTACCCTCATAATAATCCTGTTGAGCAGGTATTATCTCCATTTTATAAATGAAGAAATTAAGGATCAGAGCAGCCAAGTGACTTGCCAAGTTCAAACAACTAGAAATATGGTGGGACCAAATCATGTTTCCTGACTTCACATCTCAAGAGAACACTCCATGTTTGTTCTTCTCACAGAACTTAGTGCACTGAATTGAACTTGGTGTTATTTGATGACCAAAAAATAAATGAATGAATTTGAACAATACATATATACAGTTATAAAACCTACCCCTTGCTGAAGTGTTTCCATCTGCAAACTTAGCTAATACTCCCCTCTCCCACATCATAAAGCGGTCTTCTATACCTGCCCAAAGGTATCTCTGAACAAGAGGGCTCCATAAAGAAGGAAGTTCAGAAAACAGGTTATGTTTCTTGGACTCTGTATAGTGAATCCGATTCCAAAGTGTGGGGGAGGAATATAAGACTTTTTAGAAGGCATCTATTCATCTAAACATTGAAGTAACTGCTACACCTGGGTTACTGGGCTCATGGGTCCTGAAAGAGGATTGGTTACAATACTGAGGATGGACCACTAGAGTTTTCCAGTTTCCGGAAACCCACAAATATCAGTTCTGAGATTTTGATGACGCCATTGTTGCCAGTTCTCCGAAGTTCAGGTGGGATAGCTGGGTCTAGTTCTAATAGAGCTAATTTTAGAGAGGGGGAATAGAGCCATGGCAAGTTCAACTATAAGTAAATACAAGTAAAATTATCACATCGACTCTATGGAATATTGTATAGGTCCTGTCAGTGACTTTCTTAAGATCACAAGAACCCGATTCAATAGGCAAAAATTTGAAGTTCAATTTGAATTTTCCAAAGACTAGCAAGGTTTACAGAAATTTATTCACAATGGAAAAGGCAAATGATTAGCTCTCTTAGACTGCTTTAAGAGAGTTGGTTAGGATGGAAGGCTTTGTTTGTGAGACCCAAGGCAGATATCAAACTCCCGAGTTTTGAGAATAAAGCATGGCTTTTAAACACTGGATAAAGCAGTGGGGACTGCTTTCTGAAATTCAAAAAATTCAATAGCTATAGACCTCCTAGGCTCTCTAGAAATAAAAGCAGGTTTCTGCTGAACCAGGAAAATCTTCCAGAAATCAGTGGAACCAGATACCCTTAGTATTTTAAGGACAGATACAAATACGTTTTTCTTATCATTAAGAATTATGTTATTCAGAAGTTGTTTTCTAGGAATGAAAAAATAGATACAAGCCCTAGAACAACACACATGGGTGGACTCTGTTTCCAAAGGCCAGACAGTATTGATAGAGAGCCCAACAGGATAATAATAATGACTAAAATCCCTCAATGAGATGAATTGACACAGGGGCTGCAACAATGGGCTCAAGCATAAAAACGATCTTGAGAATGGCAGAAGACTGGGCAGTGTTTCGTTCTGTTGTACATAGGGTCACTATGAGTTGGAACCAACTCAACAGCACCTAACAACAACAACATTATTTAGAACTGTTATAAGCAATTTACTGTATCAGCTTATTTAAATCCCACAATAATCCTATGAAGTAAGCACTATTCATACTCTCATTTTACCGATGAGCAAACTAAGGATCAGAGATGTTAAGAAACTTATTCAAGATGATACAACTGGGTACTTATACACAACTATATAAAAGTAAAAGAACTGGAATTTAAACTCAAGAAGTCAGTTACATATCCTGAAAGCATATGGGCACTAAAGTTAGACAAAACCAAGTTTAATCCTGTCTCTGCCACTTCTTAGCCGTATGACATTGCCCAAGTTACTTAATCTCTCTCAGCTTCAGTAATCCTCCAAAGACTAGGTGGCCAAAAACAATTGAATTCTGAAGGTTTAGTAATATAAGCAAGGTTCAGTTTATAAATTCAGAGAGAGAAACTTCCAGAAAAGATGGGAGCTAACCAGAGAGGCAGCTAATTCCTTGATATGCATAGCTTCCAGGTCAGCTCCCACTTTCCTGGGGAATTGAAAATGTGAGAAGATATGGTTCCACTTGCTATGCAGTGCATGTTATTTCCTAACTGGGCTATACTTTCAGGGGCATGGCTGGAAGTTGAGTCTGAATATGGAGTTAACAGTTGTATGAAGAACGCAATGAAAGGGACAGGAGTACCGGAAAGGGTGTCAGCATGAGAGTTAACCAAATTATTCCTGGAAGCTCAGGAGCTAAGTAGAAACAGAGGTCTAGACTTAGGAGGGATCCTTATTGGGAGCATCCTAACAATATGCCTAATGACAAAAATAAGCAGAACTAAATTCATATGGGTTAGACAACAGATCAAACACTGAAGAGACAATAGTTCAGAACTAGAAAATCCTGTAAAAGGACTTTTACAGTAAAAGTAAAAGGAGAAGGTGAGTTGTGAACAGGCCAAGGTTGTAGTAGTTAATACAGCAAAGGGACAAAAAATCTGTAAGTTATCCGTACAACAGATAAGGGACACCCACATTAGGGAGACCTTGGTTTGAGGCAGCTCGCTTGAGAAAGAACCAAACTCACGGCAATACCATGAATCAATACCAGGCAGGCTCTGACCTGGAGAGACTACACAACTCAAATCACTATGTGACCAACAGGTCCTGACAGTAGCATGTATTAGGCTACAGGATAGAATTAATGAAATAGGGCATTAAATTTATATATAGAGTGCAGTGGTTAAGAGCTCAGCTGCTAATTAAAATGTCAGCAGTTTGAATCCACCAGCTGCTCCTTGGAAACCCTATAGGGCAGTTCTACTCTGTCCAATAGGGTCACTAGGAGTCAGAATGGACTGGATGGCAAGGGATTTGGTTTGTTTTATATATATATATATACACACACATATATATATATATATATGTATGTGTGTTGTCATGGATTGAATTGTGTCCCCCCAAAATATCTGTCAGCTTGGCTGGGTCATGATTCCCAGTATTGTATGATTGTAATTTGATGTGATTTCCTTATGTGTTGTAAATTCAATCACTATGATCTAATAAGATGGATCAGCGGCAGTTATACTGATGCGGTATACAAGATTGGATAGTGTCTTAAGCCAATCTCTTTTGAGATATAAAAGAGAGAAGCAAGCAGAGACACATGGGAACCTCCTACCACCAAGAAAGCAGTGCCAGGAGCAGAGTGTGTCCTTTGGACCTGAGGTTCCTGCACAGAGAAGCTCCCAGACCAACAGAAGACTGATGACAAGGACCTTCCTCCAGAGCTGACAGAGAAGAGAAAGCCTTCCCCTGGAGCTGACACCCTGAATTTGGACTTGTAGCCTACTGGACTGTGAGAGAATAAACTTCTCTTTGTTAAAGCCATCCACTTGTGGTATTTCTGTTACAGCAGCACTAGATGACTAAGACATATGTATATATATAGTCATACATATATAAATTATAATTTAAAAAGCATATAAAAAGACTGCAATGATTTAAGCAAAGAAAAGATCAGCTGCTGCCAACAAACCATTTTTTTATTGTTGTAATTAAATGAAGTTTACATTTCAAGTTAGTCTCCCATACAAAAAATTTTTTTGCATACATTGTTATGAGTCCCTAATTGCTCACCCCATTCTGCAACAGCACACTCCTCGTTTCTGCCCCTGATTCCCCATGACCATTCAACCCGCTCCTAACTCTCTCTGCCTTCCCATCTCACCTCTGGACAGAAGCTGCCCCTTTGGTCTCTTGTATCTACTTGACTAAGAGGCACACTCTTCACGAGTATCACTTTATGTCCCACAGTCCAGTCCAATCCCTGTCTGAAGAGTTGGCCTTGGAAATTGTTTTAGTTCTAGGCTGATAGAGAGTCCAGAGGCCATGCCTTCCGGGGTTCCTCCAGTCTCAGTCAGACCATTAAGTCTGGTCTTCTTACTAGAATTTGAGTTCTGCACCCCATCCTTCTACTGCTCCATCAGGGACTCTCTATTGTGTTCCCTGTCAGGATGTTCATTGGTGGTAGCCGGGCACCATCTAGTTTTTCTGGTCTCAGGCTGATGAAGTCTCTCATTTATGTGGCCCATTCTGTCTCCTGGGCTAAAACTTTCCTTGTGTCTTTGGTGTTCTTCATTCTCCTTTACTCCAAGTGATTGGGACTAATTGATGCATCTTAGATGGCCGCTTGCAAGCTTTTAAGACCCCAGACACCACTCACCAAAGTAGGATGCAGAACATTTTCTTAATAAGCTTTTTTATGCCTTTTGACCTAGATTTCCCCTGAAAGCATGGTCCCCAGACCCCCCATCCCTGCTACTCTGTCTCTCAAAGTATTTGATTGTATTCAAGAAACTTCTTAGCTTCCAACAAACCATTTTAATAAATAAATAAATAAAATTTAAACTTTAGGGGTTTCTTATGATATGTCAATTTACGTATCCTTAAAGTTTTCCAAGTTTAATAATTGAAAATTAATAGAGAAGAATCAGAATACATAAAACATACACATACACATACATATACATATACATATATACAGACATACAAATATAACACACACTACATACAAATTGAAACCCTGGTGGAGCAGTGGTTAAGAGCTTGCCAAAGGGTCGACAGTTAAAACCTCCCAGCAGCTCCTTGGAAACCCAATGGGGAAGTTCTACTCTATAGGGTTGCTATGAGTTGGAATCAAGTCAATGGCAACAGGTTTGGTTTTTTTTTGGGGGGGAGGGGTTTACATACAAATTAGGGCAGGTTCACATGACCATTGTAAATCACTTTTGCAGTGTACAACCATATTAATACAATTCAAAAGCATAATGTACTTCCTATAAAATTGAACCATTTTATATCCCAATTCCAATAAAAGATCTATGTATACACATACTTATTTTCAATGATAAAGCAATCAGTGAAAAGCAGTATAATGTAACAGAAGGAACAAGGGCTTTCTAATTAGACCTGCTAGGTTTGAATCCTGGTTATGAATCTGGGCAAGCTCCTTATCTAGTCAGAGCCTGTTTCCTCATCTGTAAAATGGGAATCTACACCATCTATATCATACAGTATTTGTCAGGATTAGAGCTCATAGAGATAAAACAGTGTTTCTCAATACATGGCCTGGCCCCATGCCAGGCAGATTAAATGAGAATTGTAGTGGAAAGGCTGAGGGTATGCATTTAAACAAGATCCCAGGTGATCCTTATCTACACCAAATTTGAGAACTACTGATAGAATAAGTCTGACAAGGACTTTGTAGGTGCTCAGTAAATAACTGCTATTATAATAAAGTGGAATTATTAATGTATCTTTCCAATAGCACCAAAGGAATTTTTTTTCTATTTCAAAGTAAAAAATTGATTTTTAGAAGAATGGATTTAAATACAAAAACCTGCTAAATCTTCTGCCATTATGTAAATTATTTATTTGTTCTTTGTTTTGTTTGTTGTTTTGTCTTGGACAACATACCTTCTATGCTGAAGCTACTTGAATGTTTAAATTCTTCAGAATCATCATATTTAGATGCTTTGACACCAGAATCTGTGAATACGATGAAAAAGCCTTTCTTGCTGTATAATTCAAATGTGCTGTAACCAGGAATCCAGAGGCCCTGATGGTGGAAAAATGTGGCTCTCCTATGAAAGGCTGAATTCGCCTCCCACAGCTTCAGACTAAGAGAGTCATTGTCATGGACATAGAGAAAGTAGTTTGGCCTTTCAGCAGATTCCAAGGAAACAACTGCCAATGCTGCAAAACATAAAGCAGTGTGTTTGACAAGCCTCTGGGGTCTCAGGAGAAGATGGATCATGGACACTGGCATTCAAAAATGTATTTATAAAGTCAACAAAACTGTACTTCATAATGACCATACATACTTAATGCTAATAACAAAGATTTCAGAAATGAATTGTAAGATAGCTAAAAGAAAATGTAGCATTTTAAATGTAATGAATAACAGTAACAGCCACCCCCCACCAAAAAAAATCAATCTTTAATGAGTTCTATTTTTTAAATAATTCCCTATGCCTTTGGGGAGGAAAAAAAAGAAATACCAACTTATGACCCCAGAATGTACAAATCACACAAGAAACTGAAAGATTAATTGAATACTATATATATGTATTTGTAAGCTTTAACATCTTCAAATGCATAAAATCTACAAACAACTAAATTGGATTATTAAAAAGACTGAGAGAATACAGAAAAAGATAAATTTAGGGGTGCAACTACATTTCAATATCACAGGGTTCTAAATGAGAAAATGTTCTTGTGAGTTATTTGACTGCATTAAGAACTATTTGTTCAACATTATTGTCTATTCCCAATAGACAATCAAATGGCTAATTAATAATTAGGTTTTACAAAGATTTTGAGAACGGTCATCCTTCTTTGATATGTGCTTTAAAAGTTTTCTTTATATCTATAAAACCCATGATACAAAAATTTTTAAACTGAAGATTAAGTTTCATTTATTTATTTTAAACTAAACACCATTAGTTCTTTCTACTAAAAGCGTTTATTATTGAAAGTAATAAAATGAAGAGCTGTCGAAAATCCAATGTCTCATTCCAAAGGCATTTACTGTGCCTGGAAGTTCCTCTGCTGAACACTGAGAGATCCAAAGAACAAAATAAATTTTTATGAGGGGGAGAAAAAGATGTAACTAATACATAAATTAAGACTTCAGCTTTAAGTGTTTTCAGAGGTTAAAAAGAACAAGGGGAGCACAGGAAAGAAACAGCTTATTTCAACTAGAGAATCAGAAGATTTCTCAGAATCTGAAATCTAAGTCGGAGTCATTCACTCAATAAATATTTTCTAAGCATATACAACATGCTGTGCACTGTTACTAGGTAGGGGTGGTATTCAACCATGTAGTCTGCACATAAATAGATCAGAAGGGGACATTAACCAATCAGAACAGGTGCCAAGTCGATGAAAACAGTGTAGACCTGCCGGTGCAAACCAGCTAAATACAGGCCCAGGTTCTCTTCACCTAGGACCTGTCAGTGAATTAGAACAGACAAGGTCAGATAAGCATAAAGGATGGTCTCAATGACTGTCTGGATTCTGATTTATGCCCTTAATAGCTAACTTCTTTGATACTCAAATACAATTTGTTTCCTTTAACTTAATCTGGCATTAAAATCTTTCAAATGTTAGTGATCAGTGGGTAATTTTCCAAAAATTTCAAATTAAATTCTGTGATTAATACTATGAAAATTTAAGCTGTGCTTTCTTTAGGACCAAGAACTCAATCAATTATAGCTCTAATTAGCACACACATGCCAACAAATAAAGAAAAGATTTTATATACAAAAGAGATAGCTAACTCATGTGTCAATGTTTATTTGGTTTTATATACTTTAAGGCCTAGAAAATATCAAAAATATATTAGACCCCCAACTAATTTTTACTGAATATATGAAAAATGAAAATGGAAAATTAAATTCTTATTTTCAACTAGAAATTGTACTTACATGATGCTTTCTCTTTGAAAAGGCCTGGAGTGATCATAAAATTAAAAAATAAATTGTCATGAATGCCATTTCTTGGAAAAGAGAAAATGTTTCTACTGCTCATATTGGCTGCCAGAAAAAGGCCACTCTGCCCATAACTTGCCAGCATATATGGTCCTTCTCCAAGTCCTAGTTAAAAGCAAATAAGAAAAGTAAAAGTTAGCATAGGATTTTTAAATTTCAATCTGTCACTTCAATTAAATAGATTTTAATAACTAAAAATAGTCCAAAAGAGTGAGCCTTTAAAAATGTATCACTAGGAGGCGGGGCCAAGATGACAGAGTAGTCAGATGTCTCCAGTGGACCCTCTTACAATACAGACCTGGAAAAACAAGTGAATCAATTATTTATGACCATCTAGGACCCCTGAACATCTAAGGCAAAGTTGAGGAACTGTACTGAGTGGCAGGGGGAGGGAGAGACAGTTCGGAAGTAGCGAGGAGATCCCAGACCTGACCCGGCGGGAGCCTGAGCCCTTCAGGCCTGATCAGCTCGTGGATGACCAGTGAGGCAGGCAAGCAGCAGTGCTCAGGAGGTGCGTTTTCTGCACCAGGAGAGACTCAGCACCAGAGAGTCTACTCACCTACCCAGAACCAGTGAGAAGCACCCCTCGATCAACGAAAGATAAGTACTTGTGTACGGCCTACCACACAATCAAAAACATCCCCCTTAGGGAAAAATCTCTCTCCTATTTGCCTCCCGGCTCCCTGCTCCACACTGGGTCCCCGAACAGCTTCAGCAACTGCCAAGACCCCTGGGCCAGAAGTAGGATCCATCACACACCCTGAGCTATTCTCCCGGCCTTGGAAAGAATTAACAGGGGAGAAAATAAACTGCCGGCTCCCCTAAGCCAGGAACCCAGGGTAGGCACAGCTCCTTTGCCTAGGCACAGACATGAGGAATCCATGGACTTTGAGTGCCTTTCCCCCTGCAGAGACTTGTGTGGGCCCATTTCAACAGTGTTCGCCCTCATTATCGCAGTACAACAGGGTATATACCTCAAGTCTAACTTCAACTGTTTCAGATGTGAAGTGGCAAGTTCGTGACATTTGACACTGCTCTGCCCATTAAGCAGGGTCTTCACCTATCCACATCAGGGGCCTGAGGAATGGTGGCTCCACCCACACCACCTAGCCACCTGTAATAGGGGCCTAAGAATAAGAGGTGCCCCCAGTCCTTACAGCCAACAGCACTGGCTGCTCATAGTCTGGCTGCGAAGCCCACCCACCTATGCACTCTAGGAAAGAGGGACACGCCTTACTCCTGGACACTCGGGGGCAGCCGTCAGCCCCCTTCCTTGCTCAGAGTGTGTCCCCCTGCTGCAGCCAGATGCCTGTGCCTACACCAATCACCCATGCCTGTCTAGGACCGTAGGTGAGAGCCTACACCACACACTTGGTGGATATATACCTGCGCACCTGAGCTGAGTTCATACATGAGGAGTGGGCAGACTCCTGAGCTCACATACCTACAAACAGATCTAACCACCTGGTGACAGGACAGTAGAGCTTCAAAGCTGCTGGTAATCAAACTAGCTCATACAAGCAGCCTATTTGGGCATATCAAAACAAAACAAGAAGCAAGGACACAGTAAGGAAATATAAAATAAATAAATATAATAACTTACTGATGGCTCGGAGACAACAGTCAACATCAAATCACATAAAGAGGCAATCCATGATGGCTTCAGCAAGCTCCCAAAATAAAGAATCTAGAAATTTTCCAGAGGAGGAAAATTTCTTGGAGTTACCAGAGGCAGAATACAAAAGATTAATATACAGAACTCTTCAAGAAATTAGGAAGGAAATAAAGCAAAACGCTGAACACACAATAGAGGAAATTAAAAAGATTAGACAAGAGCATAATGACCAATTTAACAGGCTGCAAGAATCCATAGAGAGACAGCAATCAGAAATCCAGAAGACTAATAATAAAATTTCAGAATTAGACAACTCAACAGAAAGTCATAGGAGCAGAACTGAGGCAATGGAAGTCAGAATTAGTAAGACTGAAGATAAAGCACTTGACACCAAATTATTTGAGGAAAAATAAGATAAAAAGATTTAAAAAAAATGAAGAAACCCTAAGAATTATGTGGGACTCTATCAAAAGGAATAACCTACGAGTGATTGGAGTACCAGAACAGGGGGGATAATAGATAATACAGAGAGAATTGTTGAAGATTTGTTGGCAGACAACTTCCCTGATATTGTGAAACATGAGAAGATATCTATCCAAGATGCTCATCAAGCCCCACATAAGGTAAATCCCAAAAGAAAGTCACCAAGACATATTATAATCAAACTGGCCAAAACCAAAGATAAAGAGAGAATTTTAAGAGCGGCTAGGGATAAACGAAAAGTCGTCTACAAAGGAGAATCAATAAGACCAAACTCGGACTATTCAGCAGAAACCACGCAGGCAAGAAGGTAATGGGATGACATACATAAAGCCTTGAAAGAAAAAAAACTGCCAGCAAAACTATCTCTCAAATATGATGGTGAAATTAGGGCATTTCCAGATAAACAGAAGTTTAGGGAATTTGCAAAAACGAAACCAAAATTACAAGAAATACTAAAGGGAGTCCTCCAGTTAGAAAATCAGTAACATCAGATAACAACCCAAGACTAGAACACAGGACAGAGAAACCACATATCAACCCAGATAGGATGTCACAAACATAAATCAAAGCTAAAACATTGAAAATAGGGAAACAGATGTCAATCTGTAAAAGATGACAACATTAAAACAAAAAAGAGGGACTTAAAAAATGTAGACATAGATTTTTCATATGGAGATGAAGTCAAGGCAGTATAAAGAAATAAAAGACTGGAATAAACTTAGAAAAATAGGGGTAAATATTGGTAACAACAAAGGAAACTAACAATCCTACAAGTCAAAATAAAAAAATAGAAAAATAGAAAGACTCAGCAAAAAACAAAATCGACAACAATGAAAAAGATGAAAAGAAAATACGTAAAGAAAAACGACTCAGCACAGAAAATTAAGTGGAACAAAGAAACTGTGAACAACACAAAAAAAAAGACATCAAAATGACAGCACTAAACTCATGCCTATTAATAATTACGCTGAATGAAAATGGACTAAATGCACCAATAAAGAGAAAGAGAGTGGCAGACTGGATTAAAAAAACACGATCCGTCTATATGCTGCCTACAAGAAACACACCTTAGACTTAAAGACACAAACTAAAACTCAAAGGATGGAAAAATATATATCAAGCAAACAACAATCAAAAAAGATCAGGAGTGGCAATAATAATCTCTGACAAAATAGACTTTAAAGTAAAATCCACCACAAAGGATAAGGAAGGAGATTATATAATAATAAAAGGCTCAGTACACCAGGAGGACATAACTGTAATAAATATTTACACACCTAATGATGGGGCTCCAAAATACATAAAACAAACTCTAGCAGCACTGAAAAGAGAAGTAGACAGCTCCACAATAGTAGTAAGAGACTTCCACATACCACTTTTGGTGAAGGACAGAACATCCAGAAAGAAGCTCAACAAAGACATGGAAGATCTAAATGCTACAATCAACCAACTTGATCTCATAGACATATACCGAACTCTCCACCTAACAGCAGCCAAGTATACCTTGTTTTCCAACATACTTGGAACATTCTCCAGAATAGACCACATATTAGGCCATAAAGCAAGCCTTAACAAAATCCGAAACCATGAAATATTACAAAGCATTTTTTTCTGACCATAAAGCCATAAAAGTAGATATCAACAACAGAAAAAGCAAGGAAAAAAAGTCAAACACATGGAAACTGAACAACACCTTGCTTAAAAGCTACTGGGTTATAAGAAGAAATTAAGCATGGAATAAAGAAATTCACAGAATCAAACGAGAATGAAAACATATCCTACCAGAACCTTTGGGAAACAACAAAAGCAGTGCCCAGAGGTCAGCTGATACCAATAAATGAACACATCCAAAAAGAAGAAAAGGTCATAACCAAAATATTAACCCTACAACCGGAACAAGCAGAAAGAGAGCAGCAAAAGAAGCCCTCAGGTGCCAGAAGAAAGGAAATAATAAGAATTAGAGCAGAATTGAATGAAATAGAGAATAGAAAAACAATTGAAAGAGTTAACAAGACCAAAAGCTGGTTCTTT